TTTATTCATTGCATATGTGGTGATTGAAAACACCATGGCTTGGTTCAGGTGCATCTTAGTCCTGGTGTGAGATAAAATAATAAGTCATAACCATGAAGGAGAACACTGAATATTTTTATAAACCATAGCAAAATGCTTAGTTAAAAATCCATTTAAAAGCAGTCAATGTTACTATATGCTATAGAATATACAGAGCCCGGATGGTGCAGTTGTTAAGTGCTCAGCTGCTAACTGAAAGGTCAACAGTTCGAACCCACATGCTGCTCTTCGGGAGAAAGATGTGGCAATCTGCTTCTGTAGAAATTCCAGCCTTGGAAACCCTATCGGGCAGTTCTACTCTGTCCTATAAGGTTGCTATGAGTCAGAATCAATGGCAACTGGTTTATAGTATATATACTATATACTATAGTATATGTACTAATATACTATATACTACAGTATATGTACTAATATACTATATACTATAGTATATGTACTAATATACTATACCCATGGCTTCTTAACATCTCTGCAACACAAGCAGCTGACCTCATATTTAAAATGCCGGCGAGCATAGAGAATGACAATCAATGCTTCCAGGACTCAATAAGCTAATTTTCTTCCACAATGGTCTACGTTTTCAGCAGGCCATGAAATTTCTTTTTCTAGGTTAATTTACTGCAAGAGTCAATTTGCTATGAGCGTCAATTTACCATGGATTTTTAGTCTATGGGATCTACAATGACGGTATATTTTTAAAGTGTTTAGATATTTCAACTAAATTTAATATTTAAAAAAATATATAAATATTCTAACTAACCATGTGAAATCTCAGGAAATTTATCCATAGTGGTAAAAAGTGACACATGATAATGTTCCCATTCTCATTTCAATAATTTTTACCACAAATAAAACTGTTGACAATTTATTTTGCTTCCAGTGGAAAAAAATAATAGAAAGAGAAGCATAGCCATTACAGTTGTGATAAATCCCTTTTTTTTTTTCAAACTGGTGTGGAAACAATAGTAAAATACAAGCTAAGTGGAACCCCCTCTGATGAAAACTATTTTAAAAGAACTCTAGTACGTATAGTCTGGGAAGAGAGTGGGGCGTGGTTTGAGGAGGGCTGTCATCCTATTGTGTGACAATACAAAGAGGATCATCATGTCAAGGCAGGGAAAAACTATGAGCCATCTTTATATAACAACTCATTGCCATCTAGTCGATTCTGATTCGTAGTGACCCTATAGGACAGAGTAGAACTGCCCCACAGGAGCGGCTGGTGGATTTGAACTACTGACCTTACTAGGGCTCCTTATAACAAAGTGAGTATTAAATCAATGGATTTCATTTAAAGCACTAAGTTCTATCCATTCTTTAAACTTATTTTAAAACATGAAATTAAATATTTTTCTTTGAAGTGAAACAGAATGCAGGGCTTAATAATAAAGTAAAAAAAAAAAAAAAAAAAAAAAAAAACCTCCCAAACAAGTTTAATATTTAAGACCATTACATGTAGGGATGCATGAATAGATGCCATCTTTTGGTAATTTATGAAATCAATTCATTGTCTGATGATTCATAAGAAGTCAGTTAATTTGTACATTTGCTGCCACACTGATAATATATGTAGACAACAATAGCCTTAAAACTATGAATTTAAGTTATTTAAGGATATTTAATTGCATTCTGAGAATTGTTGTAAGTTTTAGAAATAAGTTGATTCATACAATGAGGATTCTATTAGATTTTGACCAATAAATGCCACACTTCTGTAAAATATTGAAAGAATCTAGTCATCTTACAATCACTGAACAATTGATATTTTTTAAGTTAATTGATTAATACCAAAACTAAACCCACCATGTCGAGGGGACTCCAAGTCATAGTGACCCTATAGGACAGAGTCAAACTGCCCCATAAGATTTCTAAGGCGCCACATCTTTCTCCCGCAGAGCAGCTGGTGTTCTCGGTTAGCAGCCAAGCTCTTTAACCACTGTGCCGCCAGGACTCCTTGACTGACTTATAACATCTAAAGAATTGAATGTTTAAAAAAAATATAGTGTTATCTGCTTTTTGCACATGAAGATGATATTATTTATCCAAATGGCCAGAGCTCATGTTTCGAGTGATTTCTTTCTCCTGAGGACTGGAATAAGTGCAAGCTCTCTCTTCCAGTCTCCTGGGTGTGTGGGCTAAAGAGAGCTCTTAATCACATGAAAGTTTATGACTGTCACCACAATCAAACTTGTAAGCATTTTTAAGCTATCTAATTAAATTAATCAATTTATTCCATAATTTACAAGAAGAGTTACTTTTGTTTTGTGAGGAGAAGGAGCCTCCTGGGGTTCCTGAAAATAGTAATTGAGCAAATATCCTCTAGGCCTTTTAGTCTCCTCCCTTTCATAGAACACCCACTGGAATTCTCCCAGAGGATGAGGATGTGGTGAAGCATCATGAAAGACCATTGCTTCTGTATGCACGTGCAAGTCACCCTGAATCTTGTCACTACGAAGATTTTGATTAGAAGGTTTGGGGCAGGGACTGAGCACCATATATTGAGTAACAAAGCTATAGACAATTTTAAGATAGAAATCCTAATTGCTCTAGAGGTTAACAACACGAACAAAAACCTAATCTGCTTTAGAGCGTTGATCACAAATCCTGAGATAACCAAAACCCACTGCTGAGGAGTCGATGCTGAGTCATAATGACCCTATAGGACACAGTAGAGCTGCCTCATAGGGTTTCCAAGGAGCAGCTGGTGGATTCGAACTACCAACCTTTTGGTTAGCAGCTGAACCCTTAACCACTGTGCCACCAGGGCTCCAAAATGTGGTACAGCTGGGATTTGAACCCAGATATTCTGGCGCCAGAGATGGTACTTTTGAGCCTACACTGCACTCCCTGCCGGAGAATATTCAAATAGAATGGAGCATTTTCTTAAATGTAACAATCTTAGAGTAATGAATTTTTCTAGATCAGTGTAATTTTAGAAGTCATCTAATACAGCTCTTTCATACTATAGTTGAGGAAACTGAGGGTCAGGAAAGTTGAATATATGCCCAAGGTTATACAACTAAGCTGTAAGATGTGCACTAGAACCCAGGAACCCTGAATACCACTACAATAAAAAAAAAGTCAAACTTTGGCATTTCCCTGTATTATATTCTTCCTGACACAAAACCTAAGCGTGAGTCAATAAAGATTAGAATTTCACCTTTTGATGCTCACAATAGTGTAAATGATAGCAGTATCCTTGGACTTACTGACTTTCCAAACAGCTAAAACTCACAGTAGGCAACTAACTCCCACAATAACAAGAGTATTCACACATCCTCTTTCTTCTAGAGTCTGCTCATGGTTTTATTATGGACATTTTGCTTCTTAATTTTGAGAACCTGGGGAGAAAGGTGTGCAGAGAAATGAACGGGTCATTATTTAAAAGGCAAGGGTTGCATTTGTAAAAGGTTGTGGCAAAGTAAGCAACAAATGGGAAAGAGTGAAGGGCATCAATATTGATCTTGCCTCTCATCTTTCGCTCTGTCTTCTTACTTGCAGGTTTCTATTGTGTAGTCTCTCAAACAAAGCTGACTTTCTTTATGGTGTGACTGATTTAACACTACTGAACTATTCCATCATTGGTTAATTTGGTCCAATTAAAAACCAGTCATAGACGAAACCCTGGGAATGAAGCTCATTTGGAAACAAATCTTCTGATTAATTTATCTAGCTCACTTATGTCTCCTCTTCTAAAGGATGGATTTCAGGGTGCTGTTTTATAGCGGTGGTTCTTTCCAGCTTCCTGGAATGGCTTTCTATGGCCATCCTTGTTGGGTACTTGAAGAAAATATAGTTGTGCTTTTCTTTCTTCCTTAAGGCCACTGCCAAAACATTTAAAGAAGTTTGACTAAGATTTTCTGCTACCTTGAATTAGAAAATTTCAACTAATCAGCTATCAAAAAACAAAAACCAAACCAGATGCAGTCGAGTTGGTTTCGATTCAAGCCAGCGACCCTATAGGACAGAGTAGAACTGTCCCCATAGGGTTCCCAAGGAGCAGCTGGTGAATTCAACCACGACCTTTTGGTTAGCAGTGGAACTCATCCACTACGCCAGGAGGGCTCCAAGCCACTATCTATAAAGCACTTACACATTGTGTGGCCCTGTACTAACATGTTTGCATTCTCACCTAGTCTTCACAATTCTAAGAGTTAAGTACTATTTTTATCCACATTTTGCAGTTGAGAAGGCTTCAGATTTAAACGTTCTAGTAAATCACCTAACATGATGAAGCAAGAAGCGACAAAAATAGGATTTGAACCGACGTCGGCCTGATCCCAATGCTGATAATATCACCCACTAGGCTCTACTGAGATTCATAGTTAGACTAGGTCAAAATCCAGAAGAAGAATAAATAAATAAATAAATAGCCTCCACCCCTAACTTTTTTCTCTCTGCCATACTAGTTCTTGCAGGCAGGTAGGTGTTCCATTCCCTATACTTAGCCTCTCCCACGCCCTCTGCTATCTTTCCCTTTCACTGCTGGGAGCGTCAGAGATTGCTACTGCAGCTGGTGAGTGGGCAGGTGCAGCCGCCATCTGCTCTAGGAGTCCAAATGCGCACAAGAACTTCGCACCCAGGACCTGGCTCAGGCACTAAGGGCTTCAGAACCTGCTGGGGACAAGGCTAACCCCGCCCCCTCGCGGTAGCAATTGGCTGAATCCTTCCCAACTGCAGACAACTGATTAATGAAGGTGGCTGCCCCCCTCGCAAGTTAGTGCGAGGCATCTCTCAAGAGGTGAGACCCGCCAGGGTGCGTGAATGGGGGTTTCAGTTCTTCCTGCCCGAAGGGTCCTTGAGAAGCCTGTTTGTTTTTCCCGGCTCTTGGCTCCACCCATCACATTCTTTCATTGGCCAAACCTGGTAGGTGTGTGTGTTCCCATTGGCCGGGGGGCGGTGTCTGTCCCTGGCCAGGGTGAGGGCGGGGCCTCGCCGCGCTGAGCTTGCCCTTGTGTCTAGTGCTCGCTAGAGCTGCCGCCGCTGCAGCCGTCGCCGCCGCCGCCGCTGCTTTTGCAGCAGCCCGAGCATCCCGGAGTCGCTGCCGCTGCCGCCGCTACCGCCACCAGCGCTGCTTCCTCTGCTACCACCTCCCCTCTCAGGACCCGAGACACCGGAGCACGAGCGGCGGCTGCTGCTTGCTTGCTCCCCCTCTCCTTCCCGCCCCTCCCCTCCGTGACCTACGCACTCCTTGCAGCCCTCACCGCACCTTCTCCGACACCCCGGCATCCCTGCACCACCTGCTCGGGCACCCTCGGCGGGGCTCTGGGACTTGCTGTGCGCGCCGAGAGGAAGGCAAGCCCCGAACCCGTGCCTGCCAGACCGGCTGTCGCGGCTGCACCACCAGCAGGAGGAGGAGGAGGAGGAGGAGAAGAAACTATTTCGCCCACCGAAAGCCCATTCTGCGAGTGCTTGGCCGCTGACGCTTTTGCTGCCGCCGCTCCGCGTCCGTGGGTTCGAACACCGCAGCGGCTGGGCGGGTGGGTCCGGCGGGCGCCGCAAGAAGACACCCGCGGAGCCCTGCACTCGTGTGCCCCGCTCACCAGCATCTCCTAGCCCCCTCATTCCTCCCCCAGCCCTTTAGAGAAGGGACCATGATTTGGAAACGCAGCGCCGTTCTCCGCTTCTACAGTGTCTGCGGGCTCCTGCTTCAAGGTAATCCCCGCCCCGCCGCGGGGAGCATCAACTTCACGCCCATTCCCCATCATCCCCACTCCACCCCATATTTCCACTCTCCCACTTCCAGTCCCCCAGTCCCTAGCGGTTTCCACCCCCTCCCCCTGCTCCCCGGTGCGGCAGGGGGCAGTGGCAGTTCGCACCGGCCCCACGAACCTCTAGCGGTGGCTCAGCCCTGCTCTCCCGGCAGTCAACCCCTCACGCGGCACCTTTCGCCTTTTCATTCACCTGAGCTTCCCACATCTCACTCTCCATCCCCGCCAGCACCCCCCTCCCACGCCTTTTGGCTGGCAACTTGTGCCTTCTCTGAACATTCCACCCTCACGCCAACCCCCACCAGCTACCTGCCACATCACTCTCCTGACCGACCCTCTCCATCTCTTGTCATGTCTTTAACCTCCCCCTTTGCGGGTCACCTCTTCCTTTCCCCTTCTTCCCACCGTCATCATATCCGTGTGTCTTTAAAAAGTGTGTGAGTGCCTGAGACGGCGAGAACAGCAGCAGCGGCAGCACCGTGTGCATTGCAATAACATCCCCGGGGGGGAAATGTGTTGTGAGACGTGTCATTCACCTAGGAAGAGAGAGGAGACTGTGTCTGGGATTAAAAAAAAAAGAAAGAGAAAGAAAGAATGACTAAATAAAGCAAGAAATAAAAAAGAGAGGGAGAGCATGGGAAAAATAAAAAGACCCAAACCCACTTTATCAACAAACCCACTTTTTATTATTCCATCTGTGTCGTTTTATTTATTTATTTATTTTATGCAAAGGGATATCTGTACCCTAGCATTTACTTTACTGCCCAGGGATTTTGTCTTGGCTTCTCTTTCAGTCCTCTTTGCCGCTTCTTTCCATAATTAATATTATCTTTTCACGTGAAATGTGAGAACCCCTGAGACCGCAGTGGAGGGAAACCGCACAAAACACTGTTTTTAAGCCAGTCATTGGTTTGGCTGCGGGGTGGCTAGGGAATTGGGGTGCACTCTTCCCCAGACCCTCTGTTTTGGAGAAAAAAGGGTGGGGGCTGTGTGGAATGGGAGGACGATGCTGATTATGAAATAAATGGCAATGCATGGAGTAGGAGTGCATGGGAAGAGGACACTTTTGGGTGGCGGAGGAGGCGGAGGCGGCATGCCAGGGGTGGGTGGGCAGGGACTGTATGCCGGAGGATTGTTGCTTTGAAGAGAGTAGTGTAGGGATGCGGCTTGCGTGTGAGATATAGAGAGGATGGATGTGAAATGTTGGTTGATAGGAATTTTTTAAGCTAGGTGACTCTTGATTTCTTGATGAATGTTTGCTCACCTCTAACACCTCTGTCATTTGTGTATTTGTGGCAAAGATAAGTTGATCAAATGCGCTTGTCCCTGGGTATAAGGCATCTGAAAGTAAGACACACGTAGAATCACAGGCGTGCAAAACCCAATCGGCCTTTGGAGGATTTAAATGAGGTCAGTGAAGCACCTTTCAGCAAGTTCTTGGAATGCATGCTGTCTCCCACCCTCCTCGGGGGTATAGACCGGGGCCGTATTTTATTTATGCATATTTATGAATGTGGAATAAGAATTTTCCTGAATTAACTAACTGAGGTTGCGGAGATGTTTCTTAGAATATTGTGGTAATTTTGTGTATTTTATGTGGGATGTAAATTTCAGATATGTCATGTGCCAGAACCTCCGAGAAGGCAGACAGCAGGTTCTCCCTGCTTACCCCTCGTCCCACTTCCTACCGCTCACACCCCCCATCTTCCCATAAGTAACCGGCTGGCTGACACATTACTTAGGTTTCTAATCCGTGCTGAAACATCCTCCCAGAGACCCCACTTCACCTCTCAGTAACTTGCATTTCTCAGCTCTGCTGTCTGTGTGTGTCTGTGTGTGTGCGCGCGCGCGCCAGCGTGCGCCGTGTAGGGGGAGTGTGATGTGGGGGGAAATCAGTTAATATGGTGATTGCAATGAAAATTCGACACCGCTGGATGTGTTTTCCCTGCCAATCTGTGTGTGCTGACCCCGGCACGTCATTGCACACATTGCTGCGCTGGTGCGAGTAGATTATTTATTACAGAGCATGTGGGCAATGGACTGCACTTGGGGGTCGCCTCCTCTCTGCCTTCAACATTTCCCTGTGAATTGTCTATTCAGTGCACTGCAAAATAACTGTCTACTAGTGCCTCTCTCTCAGCCTGGAGGAGGATTTACTCTTTCTCTACCCCGGGAGATTCCATCAGCCGCAGTCAGGGCATGGGTCTCTTTTATTAAGTATAAACCAATGATAAAGACAGTGCTGTTTTTCATGGCAGACTGGGGGGTGGGGACCGGGTGTGGATATGCCAGAGAAAATGCACCACTGCAACCAGCGGTACCAGCAGCAGGTCCAAATAAATAAATAAATAAATAAGCGTCCTATACAGCAACCAGGGAAAGAGCACAAGCCCATCAATGTCTGTGTACTTATGAGCATCTTCGATCAGACCATAGTAAAACAGCGAAAGAGAAAAGAGGATTAAACTAAGAAGTGGGGGGGGGGGGCACAAAGCACCACTGGATTGTCTTCTCGTGTTTATGGCTGCCTCACATTTATCAAACCCTGCTCCACAGACACATCACACTTTGTAGATATTGTCAGTTCTTGCTCAAACAAATTGCTAGCGCTTTCCTTGTCTTAGTCTTGGCTGAAAACATTGCTTCAGGGTTCAGATTTATGTTTCTTCCACCACCCTACTGTGTTATTAGGGCTGGGTTAGGTTGTAAAATGAAGTTTTATTTCCTGGACACAGGTTAAATACTTAGCAGGTCTTTCCTTTCTATGTATAAGGAAGGCGGGGATGGGGGGGCACAGGGGGACTAGTGAGTGACTATATTTAGCTAGGAGGAGTCTCCTCTGCCTGCTAGGAATTATGACTAGGCAAATAATATAGTCAGTCAACAGCTTTTTTTTATGCTTTATCAGCGCTATCATGGTATTCTGTCACTTAAGTAATACTAACGAATTTATTAATCCCTTGTATTATGTTTCCCCTTTCTTACCTTTCTGTGTGCATTGTTTTAGACCAGGAGACTTAGTTGAACTTATTTTCTTTGTGTTTTAACTCACAATCTTTTACACTCTAACCAATTTTTGTTTTTCCTGGAATGCAACATTAGTTTTGTGACTTATTAATAGGTAGAGTCATAAACCAGTAGTGAGAATCAAGTCAATGATAAAATAGGTTTTAAAAAAAGGCTCAAAAACCAAAAAAAAAAAAAAGACTTTAATAGTTGTACTCTATAACATCTCTGTTTGTCTTCAAAGCGTGTTTAGGAAATGAATATTTAGACACAAAATAAATGTATGTTTCTGACCAAACTATAACTTGGAGTGTAGACTACTTGGGTAATATAATTTGATTCCGTTTAAGCTATAAAGCATCTTATTTTCCTCCATCGTAGAAAGAGGAAAAATCTGAGGTGAGGGCAGGGGACACTTTAGAGAAATAAATTTCTTTAGAATAAGGAGTGGGAAAGCTTGCCACCTGTAACTAAAACCTCTCGTCTATAGAGTAGATCCAGTTCAATTGCTAGCCCTCGCTGAAGCTATATCCCTTTCCATGCCTGAGGGGGCACTGCAAAAATGCAGTGTCCTGTTCAGCACAAGAAACAATACTAGAAAGGGCAAGAATAGAGCAAAAAAAAGAAAGAAAGAAGGAGAATATCAAAATAGAACAAGAAATAGACACCCATAGAGAGATCTGACTTTGGTGAGAACCTTTTTTCTCCATTTTAGAGTTAGTCTTATGCAAAAACTATCCAACATTAAAACACTGGTGTTTTAATACTTTTTTGCCATGGAATATTCTAGTTAAGTTTGTTATATTTGGAAAGAAAGATCTGCAGATGAATGGTCAGTTGCACATATATAGTACGTGTTTCAGTATGTGTTATTCTCCTCCCCTTACAGTTTTAGGAAGCCTGTTATAAATATGTCTCTTCCGCTTTTACCTCTACATGTAATAATCTTAGTCTTGCCAAGCTCATTACTTATGCCAAATGGCAGTGCTTGGAATGCAGCTCGCTCTTCCTTTTTTTGATTAACTGCTGAAACTTCGAAAAGTGGAGTCTGTACATATGTAACAATGACTATGACTTTAACAGTCAAACATTAGACAGTAGCTAAGAAAAATCTCCCCTGCAAAGAGGTGCTTATGCACTAATTGTGTATCAGGATATGGAAGCTCATTTCATTGTCTTTTCCCCATTTCTACAACTATTAGAACTCTGGGAACATAACATGACAAAGCTAAGATCAGCTGAGATGGCCCCTTCCTGCATGCTCCATTAGAAGTTTAGATCCTTGAAGATTATTTGTGATGAATTTAAATAGTGAGATAATATATTTTTTTCTTAAAGAAGAAAATCACTGTAATGAAGAGAAAATGGATGTAGGAATTTTGGAAGACATCCTCAGCATGCATTTGAAAGTGGTCTGGAATCAATGTGAAACAATATCAAATTTCTCTGTAAAATAAGGAGTCTCTTGGATATCCAACGATTGAAACAAATAAGAAGACTCCTCTATCTGCTGTGAAGGACTTTGGGGCCCATTAATAAAAATAACAAAGCACTTATATCATATTGATGTTTTAATTGTTTTTGCTGATGTGCATTTTATGATATCTATTGAGAAAGAGTCCTAGTGTTAATAAACTTTGTTAAATCTCCTTTGACAAAAGCACTTATTCTGTTACTACTGGCTGGCTGAGTAAGTTGGGGGAGGAGAGAGAAGGAAAATCACAAACCAGTGAAGCAGAACTCACAAGCTGAAGTTGGAAGCCCTTTGTTTAATTTATAGATATTGGTCTGCTTTACTCCCTGTTGGCACAGTGGTTAAGAGCTCGGCTGCTAACCAAAATGTTGGCAGTTCAAATCCACTAGCTGCTCCTTGGAAACCCTATAGGGCAACTCTACTCTGACCTACAGGGTTGCGGTGGGTCAGAAAACGACTGGACA